CTTTTGAGGTCTTAGATATATGTTAAATGTTCATAAGTGTACCAACAAGCACGTACATAGATCAGCACAGGAAGACCAACCTGGAACCATTTTGATTCCTAAACTCAGCAAATGTTTTCTCTGCAAGGTCAAAGTGGGAAACCTCCCCATTGTCTCTTTCCTCACAAATCCTGTCTTAAGGGTACGTTTAAGATATGAATAGGGTATGAGCCTGTGACCTGGCCCAGGAACTAAGTATTTATCATTACAAAAGAATGGCCAGGCTCCCCAGGCAATCCAATCAAGTAACCTGCCAGACAGGAGATAAACAATGACAGGAGAAAAACAGCATTCAAATTTCTGTTTTAGACCGCCTTTTCTGTGATGTAGGTATGATGTATCTGAGGGGTGGTCTTGATCTACAGGGTGGCAATTTCAAAAGTATTTATAAGGCCTTGCGCGCCATTGTTCTGGGTTCCTCCTCCTCTCCTGCGGGTGAGGGGAGCACCCTGTTGCAACAGATCAATAAATATCAAGCTTACTAGCTGCTTTGCTTCTCAATATTCTCTGGTTGGCCTCTGTTATTTTCTCCTACCAATAGGGAACCTACGTAAGGACTCTATATGGGCTCTTGGATACCCCATAAGGGAAAAGGGCAATTTTTGTTTACAACAACTTCCAAGTCCCATCATCCCTGACCCACTGGCCATGCTGCCTGGGACCTGGCCACATCTGGAGAGCTGCAGTACATAAGAGACTCCCTGCCTGCCATCCGCTGTGGGGGGCACAGTTTCAAAACAGCCCATTTGCAGAAGATGATTGGCAGGGGTAGGGGCCCTTAACACCTCCCTCTCCCCCCTGCCTGTTGATTATCCCTTAAAAGAGTATGACCTGCCTACAATGTCCTCAGGATTACAGGATCCAGCCTGAGATGGGTTGGTGGGTAAAGATAAAGGTAATGGGACCCCTGACCATTAGGTCCAGTCGTGACTGACTCTGGGGTTGCAGTGCTCATCTCGCTTTATTGGCCGAGGGAGCCGGCGTACAGCTTCCGGGTCATGTGGCCAGCATGACTAAGCCACTTCTGGTGAACCAGAGCAGTGCACGGAAATGCTGTTTACCTTCCCACTGGAGTGGTACCTATTTATCTACTTGCACTTTGACGTGCTTTTGAACTGCTAGGTTGGCAGGAGCAAGGACCGAGCAACGGGAGCTCATCCCGTCACGGGGATTCGAATCGCCGACCTTCTGATCGGCAAGTCCTAGGCTCTGTGGTTTAACTCACAGCGCCACCCGCATCCAATGTCATCAGGATTACAGAATCCAGCCTGAGATGGATGGGTGGGAGGCAGCTTTAAAGTAGCCCCAGGGATATTTACAGAGGACCACAAGTTGGTGAGGAAGAGTCAAGCCCTGCCCAGCTCCCAATTTTCCTCTGTCAAACCTCCTCATGTGTTTTCTTTAGGAGGTACATGCAGCACTGGGAACCCTGGGTATATATATATTTTTCTGGGTGCAGTTAAATTTTGAAGAGCAGGCTCTCACCATGACAACCCACACTGCCGCGTCCCCAGGGAGAGTCAGAAATGCAGGCGGCTGTGTTGAGCCATTATTATTTTTTATTTTTTACATGCACACATCAAATAGCACCACACAGTGTAATAGCAGATTTCTAAGGATGAGGGTGACTGTGATCCAGGACGTAACTTCCTGGGGCTATGCTCCATAGAACTCAGCGGAGCTGACATCTGGCTGCACAGGACCCGGGTTCGAATCTCAGCATCTTCAGGTAGGACTAGGAAGGATCCCCGAGTGCCACGGCCGGTCAGTGCGGACAAGACTAAGCTGGGTGGGCCAGTGGTCTGACTCTGCACGAGGCAGCTTCCTTTGTCCGTGTTGTAATAAAGCCTATGGACGTTTAACGAAAGGTCTTCAGCCAGCATTAATGCAATCTTGAGTATTTAATTAGACATATAAGGCATCTTGCACAGAAGTGTTACCATTTAAGCTGCTTGGAACCTCATCAAAGGAAAGAAGAAGTATTCAGCCTCTCTTTGATTCTTTTCCCCATTCTCTGACTTCCTGTATGCTAATCTGTCGCAAATGATAGTAAAACTTGAAAGACTCATTATCGCCTCATTCACTTGCCAGAGCAAGGAAGGACCATCAATTTCCCTGGTGCTACAGCAGATGATAGCATTTGCTTTTGCTCTGAAAAATAGTTCTGTAGCTGTTCCTGTTATGGTGAGTTATGGTGCTGGAGGAGACTCTTGAGAGTCCCATGGACTGCAAGAAGATCAAACCTCTCCATTCTGAAGGAAATCAGCCCTGAGTGCTCACTGGAAGGACAGATCGTGAAGCTGAGGCTCCAATACTTTGGCCACCTCATGAGAAGAGAAGACTCCCTGGAAAAGACCCTGATGTTGGGAAAGATGGAGGGCACAAGGAGAAGGGGACGACAGAGGACGAGATGGTTGGACAGTGTTCTCGAAGCTACAAACATGAGTCTGACCAAACTGCGGGAGGCAGTGGAAGACAGGAGTGCCTGGCGTGCTCTGGTCCATGGGGTCACGAAGTCGGACATGGCTAAACGACTAAACAACAACAACAACAAGCTGTTCCTGTTATGTACTGAAGTTCTCACCTGGGCTAGCAGGGGGATACTGTAGATAGTTTTCACTCAGAACCACATATGCAAATAAGGGATTGAAAGTGATGTTCAGTGAATGGATAGTTACAGAAAATGGTTACTGTTGCGTTCTAGTGGAGCTCTATATAAGCAGGCTGACTGAACCCTTCAGTTCAGTTCTGTTCTGGCCTGTGAATAAACAAGAGCTGTTTGAAGAATCGCTGTGTCGTCTGATATGTTCACCCACAACTTACAGTTCCTTCCTACATTCCCCCTCCACGTCACCACTGTTTCATTTTATAGGCAATGTGGCATAGTAGGTAGAGCAGTCTATATCTCAACCTTAGCCCCCCCTATGTTCTTAAACTACAACTCCCATCATCCCTGACCACTGCCCATGCTGGCTAGGAATGATGGGAGTTGTAGCCCAACAGTGTCAGACTAGAACCCAGAAGGCCAGAGTTCAAATCCCCACTCAGCCATGAAGCTCACTGGGTGACCTTGGGCCATTTGCTTCCTCTCACCTTCACCTACCTCACAGGGTTGTTGTGGGGATTAAATGAGCAGGGGAAGAACGGTGTACAACACCTTGGGCTCCTTGGATAAAAAGGCGGGATTTAAATGCAGACAATAAATCCATTCTCCATGTAGCACTGCCCTAGGCAGTGGTGTCTTGCGCCCGTTGCAACTGGTAGGATGGAAGGCAGGGAGCCCAACTGTAGGGGGCGCCAGAGTCAACTGAGTCTAGTTTTGTCCCTGTTCTCTGGCCTGATGGGTTTTGCAAAAGCATCATTGAGACCAAAGAGAAAGCTTGCAGGCAGGAGTGACACCCCCTGGCCAAGGTTGCAAATAAGAAGGCAGATGTGCCTGGAATTTGGAGGTTGGTGGGGCAGCTCCCCATTTGCCCTGTAGGGCAGGTCTGTAAGTGGGGAACGGGGCGTGGTGCCGAGAATCCTCTGGGCCCCCTGATATATGAAGACCTCTTTCCTTCTGTTTTGCATTCTCACTCTAAAGCGCACCATTAATCTGGCTTTCAAGCTGGCAACGCCAGGCAGGTATTTTAATTAAAATATTTTTTTAAAGGCTAATAGTGGCTTATGTTATCTATTATGCTGATGGATTACGATGATCCTGTCGCGGGGAGCAGGCTCCTTAAAGCCGACGACGGCTGCCTCCTTATTTTCCACGTATCGCTTCCCGAGCGGAATCTGTGATACTTTTGCAGAAGCACAAAGAGCTCACCGACTACGACGGACGCATGAGGGGGAGAAGGGAAATTGAGTCTGGGCCAGCTCCCTAGCAGAAGCGACCGTGGTCTGGCCTTCAAAGTGGGCCGTAATGTATGCCACATGAAAAATAGCACTTAGCCAGCAAAATCATGACTCGCTTCTTAATGAGACAGGGAGGAATTCTCTTTGTTCGGCCTGGTTTTCTCCGTGAGGCCGCTCTTCTCGCTGCCTGGCAGTTCAGCAGCCCTGCTCACGAGGAATACAATGCATGGAAGTAAACAAAGGAGTAATAGTACAGTGGCACCTCTGGTTACGTACTTAATTCGTTCTGGAAGTCCATTCTTAACCTGAAACTGTTCTTAACCTGAAGCACCACTTTAGCTAATGGGGCCTCCCGATTTCTGTTCTCACCCTGAAGCAAAGTTCTTAACCTGATGTATTATTTCTGGGTTAGCGGAGTCTGTAACCTGAAGTATATGTAACCTGAGGTACCAGTGTATGTGGAACAGCGACGGAGCAAGAGCGTGTGAGCACACCTGTGGAAAGCGCTCACCCTCGCAGCCTTTCCCCACCCTTCCCTCTATCCTCTTATCTCTTCCCTACCCTGCTGACACACACACACATCAGAACATAATACCCGCTGGATCAGGCCAATGGCCCCTCTGGTCCAGCAACCTGTTCTCACACTGTCCAACAAGATGCCTGTGGGAAACCCGCAAGCAGGATTCGAGGACAAGAGCCCTCTCCCCTCCCATGGAAGCAGGGCGTAGCCATTGTGGCTAGTTGCCCTCGATAGCCTTCTCCTGATGGATTTTGTCCAGTCCCCTTTTAAAGTCATCACTGCCTCCTGTAGGAGGGAGTTCCATAGTTCAACTAGGAGCTGCACAAAGAAGTCCTTGCGTTTATCTGCCCCCAATCTTACAACATTCAGCTTCATTGGACGTCCATGAGTGTTCCGAGACAGGGAGAAAAAACCTTCCTCTGTCAACTTTCTGCACGTCGTGCATAATTTTGCCTTCCTGCATTGTCAACACATTTTTAATTGTAAGCTCCTGGGGGCAAAGCCTTGCCTTCCTGTTTGTGTCATCCTGCAAAGAACAATGTGAATATGCTGCTCTATCCAAATCAAGTGGGAGGCTTTGTTCAGGGGCTGGGGCTGGGCAGGGCCCTACTATTGGGCAGAGTGAGCTGGCTGCCTCAGGTGGCAGAGTCTAGGAAGCAGCTGTGAGGGGTTGGAGACCAGAGGTGTCTGTGCCACACAAGGACTGAACCTTCGCCTCCTGCACTAGACTGCTGCTCTCAGGTGCAATGGGAGATTTATTTATTTATTTATCCAGTTTATGTGCCTGCCTCCCTCCCAAAGGAGTCCAGGGTAGCAGGATGATGCCCTGTCACCGCCTCCAGCAGTGATTCAACAGCCAGTCTAGTCAGCTTCTGAACATGGGAAGGTGAGGGACGCCATCTTTGTTTTTGCAGCCCTCTGAAAGAGGGCACAGATTCATATAACATTTCCCTGTGCTGATTTATATGCATAGATGCATGTTTAGAAAGCTTGGGTGAAATTCAATATGACATCATGGAATCATTCCATCAATTTCTGCTTGCCAAACAGAATGATCTCCCCTTCGTGCTGTTCTGGGGGTTCTCCTGGCACTCCAGAGCAGTTTTGGGGGGTTGTGCGTGAGGGGAAACAAACAAATAAATAGGGTTCTTTTTGTTGAAACAGGATGTGGGACCAGGCAGCCCTACAAACAGAGGTCCTCTGCAAAGTAGAACAGATGGCCACCCTACCTCAAGTGGCAAAATACATTAGGGCAGTCCTCTCCCCTAAGGAACACGGTAAGCACTCCAAACTTCTCAAGATCAGGGGGAGGGGCAGAGAGCTCAATGGAGCTACGCAAGATGTCTGGGGTGTCTGTCGGTGTGGTTTAAGCTGTGAGCCTCCACCCACGCTCAGCCCGCAAACTTGTAAATAAATGCAAATATTGCCAGAGATTAGCTAGTCTGCAGTGAGTGCATTCTGCAAGAAACTGAACCCTGGTAATACAGCACTGGAATCCCTGGGCCATCGCTTGCTGGGGTCTTGAGCCATGCTTGGTGATAGATGAATAAAACCCAAGGTTCCTGCTCACAGAAAGTTACCCCATAGGCCACAGAACTTGGAGGCGCAGTCGTAGAAGCCCAGGTTTTGGAGGGGGGGGATTTGTTTTGTTCTCTTTCTACCCGCTTTCCGGAAAACCAAGTCCTTTGGGGCCTGATTCACCGGCTGTTCATCCAGACACTATGAAATGAACCTGTGCCGACAGGCCTTTTTCTTAAGGCATCCTGAAGTCACCTTTTTATTGTTCCTCATCGCTTGTTTGTTGTGGTTACTCATTTCATGAGCGGCAAGGCTGTGATAACTGAGAATGTATGACGCACAAACGTTGTCTCCTGAAGAAACCTAATCGTTGCCACCCATCCAGTAGGCAGCGTTTGTAAGGCAGTTTTTATCGTAGGTACAAGGGATTCATCTCTTTATGTAGGCCATATCATCAAAAGCATTTTTTCCTCCTTGCTTTCCCTGATCTTCCTCTGCTACTGTTCCCCAAACCATTCCATTTATAAGTATTTTAAAACCACCTAATATTTTAATACCTCCAAGTCACCATTAATAGCCCTATTTGCAGTTGACCCATTGAAATTAATAGACATGGTTAGCTTACATCCATTAATTTCAGTGGGATGCAACATATTATTGTTGTTGTTGTTGTTGTTGTTTGTTTGTTTGTTTGTTTGTTTTGATTTCCAACATGAGGTCCTGGGGCAATTTAAGAACATAGTATTAAAAAACAGTTTAAAACAAATTACTGTTACAAGAAGAGGCAGAGGGCCATAAAAACAGGGATGCAGACAAAAAAAACCAGCAAAACGTTATTATAAACACAGAGATTCGGTAGTAGCGAGGTCTGATCTTATGGGTCATGGAGCCTGCACAAAAAGGGATGTCTTTACAAGACCTCTGAAACAACTGATGGATGATGTTTCACAGAAGGCAGAGGAACGGCATCCTAGAATGCCACCCAGGCAACGGCAGAAAATATCCATTTTCAGGACACCACCCTGATGTTTATGAAAATATCCGTATACTGTTGCATCATTAAAAATATATCAAACTGGTTTACAGCAAAGAAAACTTAAAACCGTACAATACAAATTCATATTATAAGGCTAAAAGCAGACATCAGTTAACCACTCTGGGTGATGTGTTCTTAATTGCCTGGCAGAACAGTAAAGTTTTCAGCGGGTGTTTAAATGCGGGTGCTTGCTGAATCTCTAGTGGCAGAGAGTTCCACAGGGCTGGGCCAATGACATCAAAGGCTTGGTTCCTTTTCGTTGTCAAATGAGCCTTGCTAACTCAGAGGACGCCCAGCACATTATCTCAGTGCTCGAGCTACGATAGAAGGGTTCAAACGATCCTTGAGGTACTGTGGAACCACGTTGTTCAGGGCTTTGTGAATTAATTCAAGAACCTTGAACCTGGCTCAGCAGCAAGTGGGCTTTGTAAGGTACAGAGTGCTGGAAGTAAAAACTTCCCCCAGAGATGATCTAAGTCCATCAGGGAACAGCAGTGTCACATCAGGGACAACCCATTCCAGGGACAGATGCCGAGAAGAATGACTACCTGAGGATTTTGTGGCCAGACGCCAACCCCCTCTGTAGTTCAGGCCACAAATCCATCAGTTATATAGACCCCATTCCTGTGGTTTTTTGGGTCCACAAGAATCTGCCTTATCCTGAGTCACAGGTTGGTTGATTTGACTCAGGGTTGCCTACAGGAACTGCAGCACCTCTCCAGGGGTTCAGGCAAGGCACAACCCTAGCCCTACCTGGAGATGTTGCCGGTGATTGAACCTAGGACCTTATGCATGTGCAGAAGATGCCCTGCCACTGAGCTATACAGAAAGAGAGACTGAGGATCTGGCAAGGAGGACATTTTTCATGTCTCCAGGCTGAAGGTTGTCGGTGGCAGGGTGGAACTCCTGTGTAATAAATGTAAATCTGCCCTTATTCCCTTATGGGGGACACAAGAGCCCTTATAGAGTCCTTTGCAGGTTCTCCGTTGGTCGGAGAAAATAGCAGAGGCCAGCCAGAGTATATTGAGAAGCAAAGCAGCTAGTAAGCCTAATCTTTATTGAACTGTTGCAACACGCAGGAGAAGGAGGAGGACCCACAACAAAGGTGTGTCTGCCCTTATATAGACATTTTTAATTGCCCGCCTTGGAGTCCAAGACCACCCCCAGAAACATCATACCTACATCACAGAAGGGGTGTAGCTCAAGACCCCCCCCCCGATACATCATACCTACATCACAGAAAGGGCAGTCTACAACAGAAATCTGAGTGCATTGTTTACCTCCTATCTGGCAGGTTACCTGTTCATGCTTACTTGGATACCCTGGGGAGCCTGGCCAGTCTTTTGTAATGACAAATACTTAGTTTCTGAGCCAGGTCACTGGCTCACCCTATTCATACACAGACATACCCTTAAGACAGGATTTGTGAACAAAAAGACAATGGGGAGGCTCCCCGACCTCCTGCCTCCTTGCAGAGGAAACATTTGAAAAAGGTTTCAGGGTGGACCTCCTGTGCTGCTCCAGACATGTGGTCCACACATCTATGTATGCGCTTGGTTGGTACATTTATAAACATTATACACACACACACACACACACATACATATATATATATAACCTTATAACCTTATTTTTTTATTTCACCTTCCACAAAGGAGCTTTTCTCCAAGGGAAAACAAGGCCCTATTATTATTATTATTATTATTATTATTATTATTATTATTATTATTTCCTGTTCTCCAGCAATGCAAAGGTCCTCAAAAGACAGCACCTGAGCTCTGCCAGAGTGCACAACGCCTTTTCTAGCATCCGCTCCCCGCTGCTGCAACATCTGCTTTGAAACCACTTGCGTTTAAAAATATAAGCCATGTGTGTGTGTTGTGTGCAGGCTGAGTGCTTTGCAGCTCAGTGCTTCCAATTATGAAAGAAGCTTCTGCCTCGGGGTCTTCAGGAACAATTCACTACTAGATATCTGGGCTCCAAGTCAAGAACACCAGTCAGAGCAGCAGCAACAGCAGCAGCAGGGGATATAGCAGGACACAGAAACAAACCAGGAAGGAGAAGCCACAGCTCAAAGAGGCCCATGTGGTGTCAGTGAGATGACTCTCTTTTTAAGGAATGAATGGCAAGGCAGCTGATGCTAAATTTCACAGGCTTGTCACAGTCATTTGTCAGCACCCCAAAGGTTTACAAGCAGAGATGGAGATAGCTGCTGGGTATATATAGAGGCCTGTGGAGATGTTCAAGTTTCCTTTAGAATGCAAATTGCTGGTAGTTAATTCTTCATTGGTGTTTGAAGGGAGGAGAGAGTTCTGCAAAAGAATAAACCATGTGCAGGGACAAAACACTGACTTTTGATTCAGAAAGCATCAAGGTACTTTACCAGTGACTAGCACACCATAGTCCTGGCTGCAACTAACTATCATCATCATCATCACCACCACCATCATTATCTATATCCCTCCCTTTCTCCCAAAGGAGCCCAGAGTTGCAAACTGATGCACATTTTAAAAACAAAGCAAAAATATTCTAGAGCAGTTAAAATATTCTGAGCAAAGGGAAACCAGTAACAACACTCTAAACATATTATGAATGGGGCAGCAGCAGCTCCACCTATTGATTCACCACCATGCAAGATTAGAGACAGTGGAAAGTTCGGCTGTGGTGTGGTGGATGATGTCTGGGCTGAAGACTGGAGAGGTCTAAATCCCTTCTCAGCCACATCGTTTCCTGGGTGATCTTGGGCCGCTTATTTGTCTCTCAGCATTGAGCTACCTTACAGGGTTATTGGGAAGATAAGGGGAAAGACTCTGCTGTACACACCAACCTACTGCTCTCTAGGTCTTTTGGGGAAATACAGTTCCCACAAGCCCCAGCTAGCATGGTTTGGGATGAGGGCACACCGATTGCACATTATCCTGAGCAACGCTCCAATCTTGACAGGAGACCTACAATTTTCTGTGCATACAATTGGGGTGGACAGATGTGAGTCCTACTGAGCACAGCGGGATTTCCTTCAAAGTAAACATGCGCTGCACTGCACATCGGTTAGATCAGTGCTGGGCAACATTTTTCAGCCTGAGGGTTGGATTCTTTCATGGGTGGCCTTAGTAGGGGAGGGGGAGTGTCATGCCAGTGGTGGGAGGGGCCAGAGGCAAATGTGGGTGGAGCAAGGTGCACAGCTCTTCCCCTCTCAACAGCAGCTTTCACGGGAGTCAGAGGTTTCTGCAGTGGCGGAGCTTGGACTCTCAAATTTCAGCAGCGGCCTGTGCAACACTAAATTTGCGCACCCACTGCCTCTCTCACTCGGTTCTACAGCATGCTTTTGCTGTCCCCTGTAACTACGCCACTCTAAAACCGCCTCTGGTTTCTGCACACACACACACACACACTCCTGCCAGGCTTGAAAGAGGCATTTGATGCAGCTCAACGGCCTATTCCAGCCAGGCAAAAGTACTTGAGGTGGGGATGGGGCAAGGCCTGCGAGAGGTGTGGCTGGGGGTGACCTGGGGAGAGTCCCAAGGGCCAGATGGCAATGCCTGGAGGGCCACATTTGCCCCCTGTCTGGCCTCAAGTTCCTCACCCCCTGAGTCAGATCAGTTGATTAAAAACCTATGCAATTCATTTAAGGAAACCTCACAGCGTTGTTGTGAGGATAAAATGGGGACGAAGAGAACCATGTACACCACCTCAAGCTCCTTGGAGGGAGGGAGGTGGGCTGGA